AACAATATTCTGAAATTTTTAGAAGTCAGCTTTTATAAAATTTTAAATTAGTGTTTTATTTACTCCATGTTTCAATAAAAATGCCAAAAATAATAATGCACAACTCAGCTTTTAATCATATCCTCCTTCATGCTGTGTGGTGAAGAGAGAGAAATTTAGTGAAATTAAAGCCTTTTAAATGAAGAGCCTGAGTGATATCACTTTTGTAAATTTTAGATCACTTTCATTATCATGATCTCTTATCTCAAGTATTATATTCATAATCTTCATTTAACCATGATTTGGTAATACCAATGATATCTAATTACTAAAGCTCTATAATCTAATGGTCATTGGAGCCTCTAATTTCAACAACTTATTACAAACTTATCATATTAATATAAAAAACAAGGCTTAACTTTAATAATCCTATTAATATCAATAACCAATACATCAATATGTTTTCATTGTGCCTTTCATAAATTACTCAACTGTAAGTCTGAAGGCTAACAACACTAAAAACTGGGTTTTGATACCTGTGGTTGACACAGCACAGATAGCCAATTGTGTAGCTTTGTGCTTAACAACAAACAAAAAATACATAAACACAGAACTTCAAAGTTATTGCTAAGAAACTTTACCAGTCTGACAAAGTTTGTGAGGTAGCAGTTTCAGTTTTATTTCTAGTTATGGTTTTGTTCATCATTTATTTATTTTTATCTCTCTGTTGTTTAGTTCAGCTATATATATTCAGCTTGCTTGCCACCTCTTGTATAGCCCCCAGTGACACATCGGTATGTATGCCGACTTACTACACTAGAAACTGGGTTTCGATACCCGTGGTGGGCAGAGCACAGATAGCCCATTGTGTAGCTTTGTGCTTAACTTCAAACAAATAAACAAACCTCTTGTATAATAAATATTAAAAAACTTATTTTCATATTAAACAATCTACACAAGGTTCCCCTAGTGGTGATGTATGATACTAGATTTAAGTAAAATATGATGTTTAGTTAGGTGTGATGTGTGATATACAATCTCATGGTCTGGCAAGGAAATAACAGTATCTGTCCTGAAGTTAAAGTATATTTGTAAGAGCAGATAGACTGTGTTACATAACATATATTTGTTAATTATTAAAACTGATAAAGTTTATTATAGATACTTTATTATTACTTGTAATTTGATGCCAATTTTAAGATATGTTTAGTATTGCTGGTTCTTTTATTCCTAGTTATTATACTTTGTGATTAGATAATAACAAAATTTCTCTTTTTTTTTCATTACATATTTCTGTGTTTTGAGTTTAAGATATTTAGTTATAAAAAAAGTCCTGTCCAGGCATTAGTTCACTAATCATTAATTTCTGAAACTTGTACAACTTGTATGTTAATTGATAACTTTGAAATTTTTTATCTTACTGTAGTAGTAACATGGTTGTTTGATATTTTACATTGACACCTAAACAGGTAGAGGTATTTTGAGTTATTGCTGAATCTAGTGTTCCAGATTTAAAGTGTGATGCACACAACTATTGTTGTGAAAAGTGAATGTCTCAGGATAAATGTTACGTTTTGCTGAATTTGGTTTTGAAGTGTGATGAACATATCTCATCAGAAGTGGATATGTATAATAATAACACAGAAACAAAGACTAAGGTTTTCTAAATCTTTATTGGAAGGCTGTTTTTTTTTATAGTTATGTTTAATTTTGCTGATATAATTAACAGAATAAATATATTTTTGACATTCAACCATATATGAAATTGTGAGAAGAAAACTAATAAATGAAAAGACAAATTGTTTGTGGAGAAAAGAAGTGTTATTAGCTCTTGCACTATTGAAAATTTAGTCAGCAGATACGCTTTTTTTTCTCTAAGAAAAACATACCTCTCTGCGCAATGAATAACTATTATCTTGCAAACTTCTGTGAAGATTTTTGCACAAAGCTTTGACTTTGTTAACCTATATTGCACCAGCCTAGGAGGGTAACACTTTATCTGTACACAGTGATCCCAACGAACACTAGCATTTTAACAAAGGCTCATTCTTTTTTCTGCTCTTATTGTCTTCTGATGTGCTTTTCTTAGGAATTCTCAGAAGTTTTATAAGAGCTCTGGTATGCAGTATGTGGACCACCCCCGACATATTAGTGTCATGTTACTTAGCCCTCAGAGCAATTTCACTTACCCTAGATTTTGTCTCTCTACAGCCACCATACACCACTCTTTATGGTGACTCTCTGAAAACAAGTTGTTTTTTTGTTTTTTATAGGTCTCACAACCACCTTATTTAATGTGTATATATTATGGAGGAGTATGTAAAGTGTTAAGCCCATCTGCCCCTGTTCTGTGCCCACTGTTGAGATGAGGTGTTACACAAAACTGCTTCTGTACTGTTATATATATTTTGTATTCCAGGCAGTACTTCACAAGAAAAACCCTCGCACTTGGCTACCACCTGCTGTTCTTAGTTGCAATAATCCATTGCACAGTCTGTCATTGTATGACCTTATACAGATGTGATATTTCCCATTCAGTTCAAGCAACTCTGGCATTCCTTCCCATGCTGATTTCTCCTTTCTGTTTTCTTCTAGTGGAGAAAGGGGAAATCTTTGCTCCTCCAGTTCCAAGCCATTGGGGAGGTAAAATATGGAGAATTCCCCACTGGAGTGGGACTGAGTGGCACTCCTCGATGGGAAGTAGTGGTAGGTTTTTACCTGCAAGTGTAGTACAGATCACCCTACTACATTATGAACCAAGCCATTTCTGTTGGTTAGTCCAACTGGATAGATCTTGTGTTGTCCTTGGGAACAAGTTTTGGGATGTTTCTTCCTGCATCTGATTATTCTAGTAGGCATCTCACATAAGCGTTTCTCCAGTAGGGAGTGGCCTGACTTGTTACCCTAGACACATTATACACTCATGCTTAGTTGACTGCCTATAAGATAATGGTTGGTTGAACAAGCTTGCATTCTGCCTACTGATGCAACAGTTTTAGCATCAAGCAAAAGGTCTTTTTGACATCTTTTGCTCTACCACCTCTCTTAGGCAAATCGTATTCCCTGCTTGAAATGGATGCAGTCTCGCACTGAGTGATGTCTCATTAGGCTACCCTCCTATCATAGGTGACACGCTCTATGGGTTTTCTCTTTCTGATGCTACATTTTCAAGAACTCACCTTTGTAATTCTTTGATTGCACCTGCTCCTTCACCGTCTTCAATGTGGGATAGTAGCTAGTTTTTGTACAGAGGTGAGTAGCATTTCTGAAAATGTATTTCAGATGGATACCTCTATGCACAACCTCCCACCTTCATCAAGAATGTGCCTTTGTTCAAATGCTAATTCTCATAGGGATTACTGTACATGGAAGATGTGTCACCCTTCTGTTGGTGGAGGATAGTTTAATGATGATTTCCTCATGAGCTGACACAATACACGTAATAACGTGCAGGGGTTAGGGCTTCATTCAAGGCATGTGCAAAAATCTTTGCAGTAATATGCAATATAGTAGCTGTTCGTTCTGCAGAGAAGCAAGTATCCACCTGAAATCAGAGGCATCGAGAGCCAGCCCAGGCCTCGGGGTCAGTAATATCATTGGGCCCCCCTTTCATTTTATTTATTAACTTTTGCTGATTTTTCATAAAAGAAATTTAGGTGAGAAATATCTTCATGAATTCATGAAGAAACAGTAGGCATTTTAGCTCATTAAGTAGCGTGCATTTCTAGTGAGCTTCAGAATATCCTATTGCTAGGCCCCTCAACAGACCCTGGAGCAGCTGCCCCCTTGCCCCCACCTCTCATCAGTCTGCCAGAAATACATTTTTAGGTAAGAGAAATGTTAAATTTTATCTTATGTTGCTTATGAATTTATGTTCCATAATGTTCGTGTTAAATTTTGAAAAATACCCAATTTCCATTTTCATCTTATATGGTACATGAATATTTGCTTTAGAGTTTCAAGAAACACCTAAAGTCAGTATGTTCATTTGACATATGAACTTCTATGTCATTGTGTTTCCTTTGAAAAGATACATTAACACTTGTATATCCTCATTCAATGAGCACAAAATTGTTTCATCTGCTTACACCGTAGTTATTGTTGATGCTGATCATACTATTAGTACTGTATGGGTTGCGAATAGTTCAGGAAATTGTTTCAGAAATGATTATTTACTGAAAGATGAAAATTATTTAGAAATTCAGAGTACTACACACATAAAGAGATCTTATAATAATATTTTCTTGGCTTTTAGAAACTGGAAGACATTAACCTGAAGCTTTGAAAATGACATCCACAATCTCAGATATTGACCTTAAAAGAAAAGCATCTGATGTAGAACTTCTTGAAGTTGATAGTGAACCTCAAAAAAAACTATATCAAAGCCCTGCTGATGTTAAATGTAGGCAAGGCTTGTAAGTTCTGTGATTTTTTCTTTTAGTATGAAGTAATTGTTTTCTGAGTCTGTAGCTTGTAGTGCTAACTGAATAATATCGTCATTTGAAAACGAAGGAAAGAAAAACTATCAGTTACTCTAGATAAATTGGAATTTATTTTTATTTTGCCATTATAACTTCTTCATGGTACACATGAAAATTATCAAGAAGATATGTCAGTTTATAAGTTCAGGTTTTTTCTCAGGACATTAGAAGTATTTTGCTCAGAAAGATATTTAAAATATTATAATTGCATAATAATTGTTCTCAAAGTATTTTTACTCTTATAATAGTGACTATACAATGTTATAAATGTTTTTTACTATAATACACAAATCAAAATTTTAATTATTTATTTAGTTATAATTTAGAATTTAAATATGAAGAACCATCATTACAATGGAGATATTGACTATTCATAAGTTAAATTAATCTAACTGGATTGACAAGATATCAAACACATTTAGACAGATATCTAAGAAAACCATAAGGAATTTTTATTTCATGCTAATGTTTTCTCGATTAGAAAAGCTTCGTTACATTTGTAGTCTAAAAAATTGTTTGCAGTTAAAGAATGCTCAGTATCAGAAATACCATCTTCAGTTAAATAATAACATAACATAATGTTTAGGGATAACAAGGGACCTATTGGTCTATCTCAGCTGTCCCATCCTCTAAACTAAACTATCAAATAAATAAATTAAGAAGAATAAATAAAATATAAATCTTAAAGCCAGCCCTTATCCTTCATATAGTTATCAAGCTTTCTCTTAAACTCACTTAAATTTACTGCCTCCACAACATCCAAAGGTAACCCATTCCAGAGGCCAACTGTTCTGTTAAAAAAATAAAACTGTCTTAGCTGAAGATGACTCCTACCTTGCGAAGATTTATATTTGTGTCCCATAATCCGAATATTCTCGCTATTAAGAAAGAAAAAAAATGATGCGTTAACATTATCAGTTCCCTTTACAATTTTAAGTACCTCAGTCATGTCCTCTCTAACTCTTCTTTTTTTCAAGATAAAACAATTCCAGAGATCTTAATCTCTCCTCGTACTATAACCACTCCATCCCCAGCACCATTCTAGTGATCTTTCTTTGAACTCTTTCCAACAATTCAATGTCCTTCCTAAGGTAAGGAGCCCAAGACTGAACACAATACTCTAAATTTGGCCTAACCAGTGACCTATACAATGAAATTATAACCTCTTTAGACTTGTATTCAATATTTCTGTAGATACAACCTAAAATCCTATTTGCCTTATCACTAGCAACAGCACACTGCTTGGATGGTTTAAGAGACTGATCAACCAAAACACCAAGATCCCTTTCTTTCATGACACTGTTATGGTTATTCCCATCCGGATTATACTTATAATTTAAATAATGATAACACACATGAATTATCTTGCATTTATTATAATTAAAACCCATCTGCCATTTATCTGCTCAACTCACTAAATGATCTAAATCATTTTGTAAAGCAGCAACATCTTTTTCACAGTTAGCGACAGCCAATGCCTTAATATCATCAGCAAATTTAAGTAATTTATTAATCATTCCTTCATCTATGTCATTGATGTTAATAAAAAAGAGCAAAGATTCTAAGACTGAGCCCACTTGTAACATTAATCCAGTTTGACTGAACCCTATTTATAACAACCCTCTGCTTTCTACCATCCAGCCACTTTTCTATCCAATTAGCTAACTTGTCCCCCACACCTGAAGTGATCATTTTGTTTACAAGCCTTTTATGTGGCACCTTGTCAAATGTTTTCTGAAAATCTAGATATACCAAATCTACACCTTTACCTTCATCTACATAAGCAGCAACCTTTTCAAAGAATGTCAAAAGCTTTGTAAGGCAAGATTTTTCCCTTAGTGAAACCATGTTAACTATCCAATAAAATTATAAACTTTGTTAATTGACTTTGCAAAGCATCTTTTATGAGACTTTCCAAAACATTTCCCACAGCTGATGTAAAACTAATGGGTCTATAATTACTGGGACAATTTTTATTACCTCCCTTGAAAAGAGGAGTGATATTAGCTAACTTTCAATCATTTGGTACTTACCCACTATTCAAGGACTTGCAAAAAATAGTAGCAAGTGGCTCACATATACAATCCTTAATCTCCTTCAAACCCTTGGGGAAATATTATCTCACTCAGGAGACTTATCATTTTTTAAAATTCCCAACTGTTTCTTAACAAGCTCAGAATTAATGCAGTCATATTATCCAACCTTGTTTCCATCTATCAACTGTTCAAGATGTGGAATACTGCTTAAATCTTCATTAGTAAAAACTGAAGAAAAAGCAGAATTTAATAACCCAGCCATCTCATAATCATCAGATGAAAGCCTTCCTTTATCATCCCTGAAGGGTCCTACCCAATTAAATCATTTTGTTTATCCTTAATGTACATAAAGAAATCTTTACTTTTAATTTTTACATTTTCAGCCAACCTTTTTTCATACATCCTTTTTGAAGTCTTAATTTCTTGTTTGACCAACTTTCTTGATCTTCTAAATCTTTTGTCATACCATTCAATTTAAATTTATTAAATTTGTGATGATTTTCTTTAATTTTATCTCTTATACCCTTTTTGAGCCCACCTGGTTTTTCCTTGCGCTACCCTTTTCTTTCTTTGAGGAATATGTTTACCTTTAATATTTAAAATTTTATAATTAAAAATTTTTCAAATTTGATCAGTCTCCAAATAATTCAGTCTTCCCAATTCAC